CAGCAGATGTACATGGTATGGAAGAGATCTTCTCTTGAAGAAATTTGTGGGCATGGCCTTTGTCTAAAGGAGCGAGCCACAATAAGTTTTACAGGAGATCCACATATTTTTAAAGGGAATGACATTCACAAAACACTGCCAGATTGGACAGAAAGGAACAGAGATAGCATAAAATCTGGAATCTCACTTTGTGTCCCCCAAATTAAACTGGCAGGAAGTAGCCTGGGGAAACTGTGAAGCTGTAAATATGGGCTGCTTTCCATGGAAAGAGAAGGGTGGCTCAGAGACACACTCAAGCACAGAGGAAGGAGCCACGACCACAGAAAAACTGAAAATTATTTCTAGGTAGGAATTGAGCAAAGTCTGAATCAAGGAATGCCCAACATTTGCCCAGCTAAGTTTCTTTTCTTTCTTTTTTTTTTTTTGAGGAGTCGTCTCACCCTGTTGCCCAGGCTGGAGTGCAATGGCACGATCTCAGGTCACTGCAAACTCTGCCTCCCAGGTTCAAGTGTTTCTCCTGCCTCAGCCTCCCAAGTAGCTGGGACTACAGGCGTCCGCCACCACACCTGGCTAACTTTTTATATCTTTAGTAGAGACAGGGTTTCACCATGTTGGCCAGGCTGGTGTCGAACTCCTGACCTCGTGATCCGCCCACCTCAGCCTCCCAAAGTGCTGGGATTACAGGAGTGAACCACTGTGCCTGGTGATAAAGTTCTGATTTTCTAAAGACCAGTGACTTTTTTTTTTTAAACAAACCTAGTTTAATAAATCAAAGAAACACAGGTGCCTGCACTCAGGGAGAACATCCAGCTCCTGATGTCCTCTTCATAGTCTTCTCTTCGACTCCACTATCACCTCCACCCGGGCAAGTCTAATGGTGTGGCCATGAAGTTTGTAGCCATCTTGTCTTACTAATGCCACGGTGCCAGTATGCACCCCAACACCAACTTGCACATGACAGACGAGTACATGCTGATGGGGGTCATGTTTGTCACCAATGGGTGTCAGCTTCTCCAGGCCATGTTTAGCAAACACATTTTTCAGCTTTGCTTCTAAAAGCAAAAACCCTCAGAAGACCTTCTCCAGAGTGAGTTTCTGGTCCCCAGGCTCTGATTCTTCAGAAATGCACTGTAGGCTTCTCCAAAGCGTCAGCCACTTCCACCAAGTCCTTACAGAAACTCTGGATTCCACACATCTCTGGGTTCACCTTCTTATGTTTTCACAATCAGCCACAGCTCTCTGGTATCTCACTGTTAAATCCTGGGCTTCCTTCTCCAGTTTAACAACTTTTACCCTTAAGGCTCATTCAGCAAGAGAGGGTCCAAGCTCATCAGGAGGGTCCTCAGGATGGCAGTCCTCACCAGCAGTTCTCTGGGGGGCAGCGCTGAATGGAAGCGGCCATCCTTTGCTCTCCCATGTAGCACTCGAGGCCAGTAGGTGTCGCACCTGCCGCTGACTCTCCCACAGGGACCCCACAGCCATGTTGGACCAGTGACTTTTTCTTTTTGCCTCCCGCTTCCTTGAACAAGAATATGTGTAGTGGTTTTCCTGTGACTGTACTACATTGGACATTGGGGCTGTGTGTGTGTGTGCGGCAGACAGCTCGTCTCTAGCTCACAGCTCTTCATACTGAGAATTGCACTTGATGAACTACACCTGAGGAATTTCCTCCACACCTGGACCTGATCTAAATGACAAGTTCCTGGACTCGTCCTCATGCCATAATGGGATGTCATGCCGTAATGAGATGAGACTTTGGGAGGCTTTTGGTGGGGCTGAGTGTATTTTGCCTGTGGGAGGAATGTAAATAATTTGTGGCCAGCGTGTGTACTTGGTGGTGTTAAAATACAGGCACTAATTCTTTAACATACGTTCCTTCAAGGGATGGAGGCGAATCCCTTTGAGTGGGGGCTGGACCCAGTGACTGGCTTCCAATGAGTAGAATGTGGCAGAAGCAACGGTTTGTGATTTCGGAGACTAGGTCATTATTAACGGCACTATAACGTCCTCCTTCCACACCCTCTCTCGGATCAGTCACACTGGGGAAGTTGGTTCCCATGCTGTGAAGAAAGGCTCCCATGGCAAAGAACTGAGCCCCGTGCCAGCAACCACGTGGGGGTGCCTGCCTTGGACACAGCCCCCCTTCAAGCCTCCCCACGACTGCACTTCTTGCTGACATCCTGACTGCAACGCCAGAGAGGTGCTGAGCCAGGAACAATCCAGCTAAGTTGTCCCCAAATTTCTGACCATCCCCCCCCCCAAAACCTGTGACCTAATGGATATTTATCATGTGTTGTTTTAAGCTATACGTTTTGGGACTGATTTATTACGCAACATCAAATGAGTCAGAAGAATGTCACAAGATTTCTTTCTTCCTGGAAGCCCTGGAAAAAAAACCATCTCAAGAAGGCAGAAGTGGGAGGCCAGGCCTGGGGTGCTCTTCTTCCCAGGGTGAGGAGATTTCAGCACTGCCTGTTGGGCTTCACGGTGCAGAAGTCACTGGAGGTGTTTCAGGGAGTGGCGCCGTCAAAGGCCTGACTGGAGTGGCTTCAAGAGAGAACAAAAGGGAACGTGGGAGGCTGACAGTGCAGCCAGTCCTTTCATGGGCCTTTGCTGCAGAGGACAGTAAGATGTTGGAGCAGTAGATGGAGGGCTGTAAGTGGGGACACCTTTATATATAGAGCCCGTTTCGATTCTGATGGTCATGACATACAACGGGGAGGAAGATGATGCAGGAGGGAGGGGTGGCTCCTGGACGAATATTCCTCTTTTAATTTTAGACAGGGTCTTGCTCTGTCTCCCAGGCTGGAGTGCAGTGGCATGATCATAGCTCACTGCAGCCTCGACCTCTCAGGCTCCAGCGATCTTCCTGCCTCAGCCTCCCGAGTAGCTGGGACCACAAGCATGCACCACCACGCTTGGCTGGAATATTCTTGTGTAGGCAAGAGAAGATGAAATTTGGAGCTGAAGGAAAGTGATTGGCTTGAGATGAGAGTAGGGAGAGTGAGAGGAAGAAGAAAGGCAGATGACTGGTGGGTGTGGGGGGATCAAGGGGACATTCTTTTTTCTCCTTTCCTTCCTTCCTTCCTTCCTTCCTTCCTTCCTTCCTTCCTTCCTTCCTTCCT